TCCCTCGAACATGTCCACATGTCCCAGGGCAAGGAAGCCTAATGTCATGATGGACAGACCCCCCAGAGAAGGGGAGGGAGTCCCCCATAGGAAGGGCAGCTACACAGATAAATGCCGTAAGGCTGCTCAACAATTAAAGGCCTGAAATCCCGAGTCCCTTTCTTCCCTTCCTGGCCATGATGGAAATAAAAACAGAGTCTCCAGGTTGACATCTAAGATGACCACAGTTGTACAGTATGGTCTCATTCATTACAGAGGAATTGTATTTACTAGGTCTATAAAAGCTGATAATCAAATTCCAAATCATCAGAAACAAACTATCTTCAGATTTGACTCAAATTTATAAAATAGTACAAATGATCTGTTTAACTCATCCCACACAGAAAGACTCAGTTATTTGTCAGCATTACTTTGCCAACAAAAGTCCATCTAGTCAAAGCTATGGTTTTTCCAGTAGTCATGTATGGATGTGCGAGTCAGACCATAAAGGAAGCTAAGCGCCAAAGAACTGATGCTTTTGAACTGTGGTGTTAGAGAAGACTCTTGAGAGTCTCTTGGACTGCAAGGAGATCAAACCAGTCAATCCTAAAAGAAATCAACCCTCAATACTCACTGATATTGACCTGAAGCTCCAATATTTTGGTCACCGCTTTTGCGAAGAGTTGACTCATTGGAAAAGACCCTGATGCTGAGAAAGACTGAGGGCAGAAGGAGAAGGGGGAAAAAGGATGAAACGAAAGGATGGCATCACTGACTCAATCAACATTAGTTTCAGCAAGCTCCGGGAGTTGGTGATGGACAGGGAAGCCTGGCGTACTGCAGTCCATGGGGTTGCAAAGAGTCAGACACGACTGAGTGACTGAACTGAACTGAACACGGAATGACTGTACTGAAACAAATTTCATATATAAAAGTAAAATGTCTATGTACTATTTAAACACATACTTATAAAATTAAGACATGTTTCTTGTTAAAATACATATTCTGTGTGTATGTGTATGTCTGTGTGTGTCTGTGTATGTGTTTCTGTGTGTGTGTGTGTCTGTGTGTGTGTGTCTGTGTGTGTGTGTGTATGTCTATGTCTCTGTGTCTGTGTATGTGTTTCTGTGTGTGTGTGTCTGTGTGTGTGTCTCTGTGTGTGTGTCTATGTCTGTGTGTGTCTATGTCTCTGTGTCTGCGTCTGTGAGTCTGTGTGTGTGTCTGTGTGTGTGTGCGTGTCTATGTCTCTGTGTCTGTGTATGTGTGTCTATGTGTCTGTGTCTGTGTGTCTGTGTCTGTGTGTGTGTCTCTGTGTGTGTGTGTCTCTGTGTGTGTGTCTCTGTGTGTGTGTGTGTGTGCGTCTATGTCTCTGTGTCTGTGTGTGTTTGCCTACGTGTGTGTGTGTCTATGTCTCTGTGTCTGCGTCTGTGAGTCTGTGTGTGTGTCTGTGTGTGTGTGCGTGTCTATGTCTCTGTGTCTGTGTATGTGTGTCTATGTGTCTGTGTCTGTGTGTGTGTGTCTGTGTGTGTGTCTATGTGTCTGTGTGTGTCTGTGTCTGTGTGTGTGTCTATGTGTGTGTGTGTATGTGTGTCTGTGTGTCTCTGTGAGTCTGTGTGTGTGTGTACATGTGCACACCTGTGCTTAGCTGCTCCATCGTGCCCAGCTCTAAGCAACCCCACGTACTGCAGCCGCCCAGGCTCCTCTGCCAGGCAGGAACCCTGGACTGGGTTGCAGCTTCTTTACCAGTGCGCCACCGGGGAAGCCCGGAAACACACACGAACACTCTCATTTTCAGCATCCCAGAGGGTCAGGGCTAGAAAGTAACTGGGCTGTCACTGCCCCCGACCATCAGCTATTTGCTCTGTCCTCGCCTAACACGTGTCCCTTTGGCAAATCACCGCAGGATGGACATTCACCTGTTTCACTCTACATAAAGCAAATGTACTTCAAAATGGGAAAATCTGCAACAGGAATGGAGCAAGTAAAACGCCTTCTGAATTAGCTACAGGGGTAGCTCTTAGAGTGATTAAAGCTTCCTTTTCAGCGTTTTTAGTGAGACTGACAACTGCAGGGGCCAGTAAGCTTGTATTCCTGTTCAAGAACAGTCCCTTCGGGAAGCTCACTATGAGACAAGGAGGTAAAATTCAAAGAACACAAGTACTATAAAAGATTTCAGCAAAAACTTCATCAGAGACTATTTACAAGATTGATTAATCCTACGACATCTGCAGAAATGTTTCATCGTAAGTATGGTCCTGTGTAGCAAGAGAAACTGCTTAATCTTCCAAGAAACATGCATTTATTGTCAGTGTATTCTACCTACTGTGACCAAAAAGTATACAGTTTGAGAAAACGTTCCACTGCCAGGCTTTAAACAAAAATGGTCTAGCTGCTTTGTGCTGCATTTACTGAAAAATAAACCATGATGAGTTCTACTATATTTGACTACTCACCCCATTATCAAGATTTCTGGCTGTGCATACAGTTAACTTTTCACACAAACATAGCCCTTGCACAAGTTGATTTTTTTTTAAATCATTTTGCTGGATTAAAATAATAGCACTAACAAAGCAATGAGCTGAGAATACCTTCCACCACCACTGAGGACAAACAGCAGCAGGAGGGGAGAGGGACCACTTGACCCACTGGGCCAGCTGGGTCCCTCCCTCCTGCATCTCTGCAGGGCTATAGAGGATGGGCTTTCCAACTCGCCCGTGTTTTGGGAACGACAACCACAAATGTAAACATTTACCAAAAACTCATTTAATTCTTCATTCAAGCTGCCCTCAGAAGGTACATTCTGGGGCCATCACCCTTTACAATGGAACCAGAAGGGTGTGGGCATAAGCACTCTGGTGCTCTGCTCCTTGGAGGGCCTCACTGAGCATACGGCTCAGAGCAGGCTAACAAGGCTACTAGGTGGGCTCACAAAAATGAGAAAGACCCAGAAGCTTACTGCACAATCCAGTAGCAAGATCAGGCCCTCCCAAACATCTAATATGGGTTCTTTTACATGCAATCAACACAACTTACGAACTGAATATTTATGTTAGTGCTAATTTACATGTTTCTTGAAGCATGCTGGCTAAAGATTTCTCTGCCTTTTTTTGCAAGTCCCCTTTTTAAGTACCAGTAGACCATCAGCATAGGTGCCTGGCAGAGAACCTTCTCTTTAGACCACCCTGTAGCAAAGAAATTAAACACACCAGGCAACAGCTGATGGGGTATGTGAATAGAGCATGAAGAAAACAGTGAAACAATGACAAAATCAAAGACAGATGAAAGAAAAATGGAGAGAGAATGGGGACGATCCAGGGGCCAGCAGGCATGAATGAGAGAAGAGGGGGCACAAATGCTTTGACTCTAACCATAATCTGCGCTTTGGGACTTGAACGTCAGGTCAGATACAGTGTCTTGTCTTCATTTCCTTTTTAAAATTTTGCAACTTGAGAAAAGAAGCCCCCCAAAGTACTTCCTGTTGATCAATATTGAGAGGTGCTGTATGTAAAACAAAAGACTTTGCATTCCCAGGGTGTCAGGTGAGAGCAAATTCCTCATCAAGGTAAAGCCTGGCTTCTACATTAGAGAAGAGAAGGCTGCTCCCAGACGGGAAAAAGAGGGCAAGCAGGAACTCCAGGAAAACCTGGAGCAGTGGACGAGGAAGTGGGGGAAGGAGAGAATTCACTCTGCCTACATCTGTCCAGACCAAGGTTTTTCCTAGGCAGATCTACCTCGAGGAATCAATCAACCAACCAAAACCCTCAGTTATACAAATGGATCATTCTGACAAACATCTGAAAAGCTTCATGGTGCCGAATGAGTATCAGTGCCCATTATCAGGAAATGAACAACTCTGTTTTAAAGTCAGGTCAGGTTTTCAGCCCAGGACCACTGTACACTAGAGTATCATTTTCACCAGTAAAATTTAGAGCGCAGCTGTGGACTCTTGTTAATAAGCAAATACTCTGAAGTCTCCTAACATTTATTCCAAAGCATTCCCAGAAGATTTCTTGTCAAACCTGGCTTATTTTCCCAAGTGCATAGGTATAAGATATGTATTCATTACTTTTAAACCTGTCTCTGGCTAGTTTCCTGAGGAACAGGAAATAGAAGCCAGATGTGAATCTTTGAGTATTTGAATTTGATATTGAGAGATTCTGTTGACCTATTTAAATTTCAATAAAGCACTGATATAAGAGACATGTGGCTGCAAACTTTAATAAGCATGTCTGTGAACATTTTTACTGAAAAAGAAGTAAAAATTCAATACCTGGGGATAACTAGTGTAAGGCAAATCTATTCGGGATGTTAATTACAATGTGGGTACTGTTTTTAACAAAGTTGAAATGTAAGTGAATACACTTAAGCCAGGCAAACATTTCAGTGCAAATGTCATCACTTTAAGTTCTGTTTTCTGGGTCATAAGCAGATGCGGAACCTGACAGACATTAGTTTAAGAATATTCAGTGAGGAAGTCAAAGTGACATCCCTCATCTGGAGGGATCTTACAGTTACACCCAAATTCCCTCCACAGAGAACAAAGCAGAGGACACATGAAAATATCTGCAAATGTATATAACACATGTCATTTTCAAGCCAGCTTTACTTCTCTATATGTTATTATTGAGCGCTGCTCTGAAAATATCTCAATTTCAGAGGACACAAATGAAGTCTGGCCTGTATAATTTGTCGAATTGCAGGCAGTGACATGCAAAGAAACTCAAAACTAAGACTCTATAGACAGTGTGATTAAAATAAGCTGTAAAATACCAACAGAAGGAAGATGAAATTCTAGATCTTTGACACAGCCCTATTTATTGAGTGACTGTACTCTGACAGTTAATTATTAACTATACACCTACCCACCCTTTTAAGAAATACACATGAAAAATCACAGCTCCTTATTCTCCTGTTTCCCATAAGGAAAAACAAAAACAAAAACAAAACCACTACCCCAGAAGAAGACAGTCACTCTAAATAGCCAAGCACTCAGGCTTCAGCACAGTGCAAATGCCACTTACTGATTTTTTCCTCGTCTCTTGAGAAAGGAAAGCAGCAGAGCTGGCCCATGGCACTGGCGCTCTCCCCCGCCTGCCGGTCTTCTCCCCGAGCTCCCCGAGGAGCAGCCTCGGTCTATCCCACGGTCCGCGAGCACACCCTGCCTCCTCCACCCCTCGGAGCAGCACCCAGAGCAGGCGGCGGGGATGCTCTCCGACGAGCGGGCACTCGCAGCCGCCGGGAGCGGGCAGGCTCCACCTCCCCGGGCCCCGGCCCCACGCAGCTGATACGCGGCTGGCTTTCGGGGAAAGACGCGGCCCCACGCTCGCCTAATTCTCCTAAAACTGGGAGCTCTCGCCCTGAGATGGGTGCCACGTGCGCTGCGCGGCTCGGCAGATACGTCTCTAAGGAAGATAGTGGAGAACAAACCACAAGGAGTCCTTTCTCCTGCAGACTGAGGCAGTGATTACACGGGAAATTCAAAGGGGGAGGGGGGGGCATATATTCTGTCTGCTACTTAAAGAGGAAGAGCTTTCTTTTATCCCCAGGAAATTTTTATTTCTTTGTTTCACAAACAGGGAACCTGACTTCGCAGAACGACAGAAAACACAAGTTGGAGTACCAGGAACTTTAAGCTGCAAGAAGGGTAGAAATGGCGAAGTGGAGGAGGGGTATAAAAGAGACCATCAGTTGTCATCTGCACTTTACAGTTTATCGTTTAAATATCTGCTTTTTTAAACACTGCTGTGTTTCTCTACTAAAGCATTAAATCAATACCATGAATTTTTAAATTAGAGCATCAAAGTATGTCAGTAGCCCAGAAAATGCCCCAAATCACTGAGAAAAAGATCAGCAATAATAGCATCTTTTCTGAATAAAAACACTACGTGGTTAAGGGGGTTAAGTAAATTCAGGGATGGCAAAACAGCTGATTTCCAGACACGATATATTTTGAACTTCATGTAATCGTTCCAAATCTGTTATCTTGCATAGGGAAGAGCTTTATCTTGCAACACTATGGGAAGGAAAGACTGCTCATGGTCCAGGAATACCACCCAAATTCTTAAACTCTATTCCTCGACTTTCCAACTAGGCACTCACACGCGTTCACCGGGCACTAGATGGAAGAAGGCAGTGGGTGATGATGAAAATTTCCCTGGTTTTGAATGCAGTGTGTCTGTTTTCCTACTCATCTGATGAAAAAGAGTATACAGTCTGGAAGGAAAAAAAAAAAAAAAAACCACCTATTTCCTAAATCCTAAGCATTACTTTGTGTATTAAAGAAACATCCGCAGTGAACGCACTTCACTGAGGAACATGAGTAACTCCTGGCATCCCCTAATCCTGGCACTGGTGTAGGGATAGAACCTTTAGACATAAAAAGCCAGAGGTCTGAATCTCAGATCCGTCCGGTATTAACACTTCTGAAATGCTGACCTCTCTGTCTGAGTTTTGATATCTTCATCTGTAAATCCGGTAAACTCACTATAAAATTTTAATTTGTTATCGCAGAGTAGGTGGTGTTCGGGAGGAGGGAGAGACGAGAACAGACTGAACATCTCAGTCTTTCCAGCACCAGCTACAATCTCACCTCCGCCTCTCCCAATTCTCCAGCACCAGCGAGCAAGCGCACCTCCGGCTCGCCCAATTCTGGCGCCCTCTAGCTGCCATCTTGAGTTACTGCTCACACCTGTCACATCCAAGAAAGGAGCCCCCTCACTCCAACGCAACCTCCAGGGGATAACGTTGCTGTGATAAACTCTACCAACTCGACTTTATTCATTAGTCCCTGTTGGCACTACTACTGAAAACGTACAATTAAGAATGAAACCTATAAAATGTATTGTTAGCTAAGTAACAATGTGTATCCCAGGATGTCCTGCAATCCAAAGTGGGGCGCGGGAAGGGATGAAGTTATAAAATGTTAGAGGCTTTTTTTCCCCAGAAGCATTAAAAGTGAATTAATCATAATAAAATATTAGAAAACTACTGAGAAACTCAAGAAAGAAATTTTAAAACTGGCTTATAATTGTGCAAATAATTAGCACATCGTTTAACCTCAAAGAGGGGATGGAGTCTGTGCTCAAGCTAAGGTTTTTCTCAGTTCTAAAAGGCTGCAATTTCACACTGTAGGTTTATGGCTACTTGTAGCTCCAACCAGTCCATCCTAAAGGANCGATGGACTAGATCTCCTTGCTGTCCAAGGTACTCTCAAAAGTGTTCTCTAACACCACAGTTCAAAAGCATCAATTCTTTGGCACTCAGCTTTCTTTATAGTCCAAGTCTCACATCCATACATGACTACTGGAAAAACCATAGCTTTGACTAGATGGAACTTTGTTGGCAAAATAATGTCTCTGCTTTTTAATATGCTGTCTAGGTTGGTAATAGCTTTTCTTTCAAGGAGCAAGCTTTTAATTTCATGGCTGCAGTCACCATTTGCAGTGATTTTCGAGCCCCCAAAATAAAGTCTGACACTGTTTCCACTGTTTCCCCATCTATTTGCCATGAAGGGATGGGAGCAGATGCCATGATCTTAGTTTTCTGAATGTTGAGTTTTAAGCCAACTTTTTCACTCTCCTCTTTCACTTTCATCAAGAGGCTCTCTAGTTCTTCACTTTCTGCCATACCTCACTCTTCCCTAACTCACAAAAAAATCAAGTAGTAATTTAAAATTTAAAATAATCACTAGCAGTAAAGGAAACTATAAGCAAGATGAAAAGACAACCCTCAAAATGGGAGAAAATAATAGCAAACAGAGCAACTGACAGAGGGTCCATCTCCAAAATATACAAGCAGCTCATGCAGCTCGATATCAGAAGAAACAAACAACCCAATCAAAAAATGGGCAGAAGACCTAAATAGACATTTCTCCAAAGAAGACATACAGATGGCCAACAAACACATGAAAAGATGCTCCACACTGTTCATTATTTGAGAAATGCAAATCAAAACTACATGAGGTGTCATGATATATCTGTCAGAATGGTCATTATCAAAAAATCTACAATAAATGCTGGAGAGGATGTGAAGAAGAGGGAACCCTCTTGTATTGTTGGTGGGAATGTAAATTGATACAACCACCACGGAAAACAGTATGGAGGTTCCTTTAAAAAGCTAGGAATAAAATCACCATATGACCGAGCAATCCCACTACTGGGCTTACATCCTGAGAAAACCACTAACTGAAAAAGACACATGTACCCCAATGTTCACTGTAGCACGATTTACAACAGGCAGAACACGAAAGCAACCTAGATGTCCATTGAGAGATGAATGGATAAAGAAGCTGTGGAACATATACACAATGGAATATTGCTCAGCCATAAAAAGGAACAAATCTGAGTCAGTTCTAGTGATGTGGACAAACCTAGAGCGTGTCATATAGAGTAAGTCAGAAAGAGAAAAACAAGTATGTATATTAATGCATATATAGAGAATGTAGAAAAATGGTACTGATGAGCCTATTTGCAGGGCAGGAACAGAGACGCAGATGTAGAGAACAGACTGGTGGGCACAGTGGGGAAGGAGGGGGTGAGATGAACCGAAAGAGCAGCACTGAGATGCATACATCACTGAGTGTAAGAGAGCGCGGTGGGAAGCGGCCGCACGGCTCGGGGAGCTCAGCCCGGCGCCCTGTGACCGACTAGAGGCTGGGACGGGGGAGTGGGGGGAAGCTCAGGAAGGAGGGGATTTATGGATCCTTATGGACGGAGGGGTCTGGCGAGCTCCAGTCCATGGGGTTGCAAAGAGTCAGATGTGACTAAGCCACTAACACATGGCTATCTGCACTGCTGTATGGCAGAAATCAACATGACAATGGAAGGCAATTATCCTCCAATTAAAAATTAATTTGAAACAATAAAATAAATCATCACCAACACTTCCTGGACACCCGCCAGGCATGTGTAAAGTGCTTTACATTTACTCACTCACTTAATCTTCACCACAGCTCTGAGGTAGCTACTATTAATACTAACCCCATTGCACAGGTGAAAAAACTGCAGAAAAAAAGTTCAGACAAGTAACTTAGCCAAAATCTTCCCGAGAGCATCTGACAACAATGGGGTCTGGACTCAATTTGTCTGGATGCATAAGCCCTGAGCATCTCATTGCAGAGTTCCACGTTACTTAATATAATTTTTGTGTAGTGTCAGGTATATATTGGGTTGGCCACAAAGTTCATTCAGGCTTTTACATAACATCTCACGGAAAAACTTTTTGGCCAATGAAAATACTTTATGAAACCTCTTACAATTTCAGAATAATGTTCAGAAAAACAGTTATCTAACCAAGCTCTATGGCAATATGTTTTAAATGCCTTGGTTTCTTATGTTTTGCCACCAAATCCTTTTATTAATGGTGCAAGAGTAATATAATCCTATTTTAAAACAAAGGACCTAAAGACAGATCCCTTACTGGAGCTGGAGCCTGGCCCTGCTGCCGCCAAGCCCTCAAGAAAAGGGCCAAAGAAAAAAACAGGCACCAGAATGACCCCAGGAAGCATTCATCTTCCAGGAAAAGAGAGAAACTCAGACCATTCAAAAGGGATCCCCAAAAATATTAGTGGGGTTTTATTAAGGGGTTAAACAGACTCCTTTCAGTAATATATAGAGATCTACCATAACTAGATTAAAAAAAGAAGTTTAACGTCAATGATAAAAAATATCTGCTATGATTTCATGTTCATACATTTAAAAACATAACCTTTTCAAGTTATCTTTTCTCACAGGCCTGGCTACAAACCAACCATGGTGAAGACAGTTGCCCATATCAGCTATACCTGTTTGAATTTTTATTATAATGGTGACAATGGCAGGAATTCAACTAAAAGTATGAGGGGGTGGCAGCTGTCTCCTCTTCATGTGCTTTGAAATATCAGTTCTGATTACTCTCTCCAATGAAAAACATAATTCTTAACTATGACCAAAGACTATTCTCTATGTCATTGTTTGGCTTTATGTTCTATCTATAACTGAAAACATGTATATGTGGATTTCTGAGCAACCTTGCTACAAAAGTCTGACTCAAGATAAAGAAAAAAACTCACTGTAATATTTTGACTCTATAAAACTGTAGAAATGACCAATTCATCTGAGACTTCCAGTTCATTAAGAAA